GTTGATTCACTGGGAACTCAAAAAGCTAACTAATATGGGAACTTCCTGCACAAAGGGCTGTTTAGATGCAAGTGTTTGCTTAATATTGATGTTTTTCTACCACAAAACACTTATTCTATACAGACCTCTAGACTTCTTGATTCTCTTCTTAATGCTTTCACCAACCCAGCTGTGGTCACAGAATTTAGTCCCCAGGAAGCCTGAAGGAAGATGAAGGGCCCTTGGACCAAACGAAGTTACTGAATATATTCTGCGAGTTCCTTGGTGAAATATCAAGTTATGCCAGGTTAAGCAGGTTTCTTTTCCCAGTCATTTAACAGATAGTTATTGAGTACCCTGCCTTTACAGTGTTCCCTAGTGAGGAAGCAGGGGGAAAACAAACATTTTAACAGTTGATTTAATTGATTAATTTTAATTTGGATTAGAGCTTAAGGGAAACAGAATCCTCAAACAGAGCCACACTGGAGAAGACCTGCATTGGTTAAGCTGCACAGAATAGGTCTCTGGGAAAAAGTGGGGCTGACCCCTAACAGACAAGAAATTGCCCATGCAGAGAGAGAAGTAGGGGAATCCAGGCCGAAGAAACTGCTCACAACAGGCCAAGTTGAAGAAGAGCTGAGTGTGTTCGGGAATTGAAGACTTCTTATGAGCTGGACAGAAAAAGGCTACTAAGTGGGAAAGGTTGGTGGAAGCTACTTACCTACTCTCATAAACCACGTATTCCAGAACACCTCAGAGCCTGTATTATGCTAATGTTATCAAGAGGCTCTAAGAGAAGAGGCAAGAGTGTACTTCCTCCCAAATCTAAAGTCAAATCTCAAATCTCCAATACTCTGGGACATGTTCTTCTAAAGTGCTGATTGTTCTATTAGTTCTGATGGTTTCAAGACACCGGTGATTTGAAACGTGCATCACTATTCATTCTCTCACAAGGCCTGACGCCTCAGCTAATTATTCCGAGTGTCTGACATGGTTCCCTGAATTCTGGCAGGACTCATTTGCAAAGGAGATTTCCACAGATAGGCTCGTGTCTGAGCCCAGGCAAGTCAGAAACAAATTCAAACTGAACAGAGACTGTGAAAACTTGATTTTTAAATGCTTACATTCAACAGTGATAATCACCTATATTTTTATATCCTAGCCAAAGACAGGGAAATAAGTGAGATACAGACTTGAAATAAGAATTAGTCCTTAGAAGAAAAAGAAAAACTTATTTCCCTTTATATTTAGATTTTAGCATCTAAATCTTTAGCATATTTCCTTTTCTTGCTACGTTGTGGAAAAATACTTCAAATTTATCTCATTTTTTTCTGTACTTTAATAATGAATAGTTTAATTGGTACACGGGAGAATACTGGACTGTTTACCTTTAAGATATTCCTAGAATCTTAAATCACTGTAGTCCAAGATATACTATGCACTTTACACCCAGCTGGCTAGCTAATGAGTTACATAGATAATCACATAAATGAACAGTAATTTTTATCAAAACAGTACAGAATTCTTGAAAGGTATTGCTAGTCTTTTAAATGAATCTGTGGCATTACTGCCATCCCCCTCTTTCTTTAAATAACCATTTCATACATGCTTGCAAATGATACTGTGAATGACATGATCCTCTTTTCCCCCCACATCCAAAACCAAAAATTCAAAATCCAATTGGACACATGCTATTATTCCACATTCAAAACCATCTCTGAAACCAGGAGTAGCTGTGTATACATTAGGAATGGAGGTTTGGGCCCAGTCCAACTCCCCGTACATCTTCATTTGCCCAGTAACACAATCTATAGCCAACTGCTAACCAAGTCAATATGTGGTAAGACTAACAGCCACCCTAACTTGACTTGATAATTATTCTCCTTTAACTGACATAATATTCAATATACTGTTGTTGAGAGCAATAATGCTAAAATTGATGCCTTGAGGGCTACAAGACAATTGAGTTTTAGCCAGATAAAATGACTTGTACACTAACAGTGCATTATAGGGTTCCACAACCTATGGAACATTTTATAGTCTACTTGTACAAAAATGTTATATATAATTATATTCTAAGGCATTTGTGCATGCTTTATCATTACTACATATAATTTTAAAATATTGACCAATAGTCAAATAACACTGCTTTAGAGAAAAAGGGTTTATTTCTATAGTCTAGCTCTTGTTTGGGGGGATTTGCTTTATTATTTTTTAAATGAGCATTTTCTCACTACACAAGTGATAATAGTTTTGTGTTCTCTGACTTCTTGCTTTTTTTCTAAACCAAGAACTGTTTTCTCCAAGGAGTAAGTAGATAATAAGTGCTGAATAACAAAAAGCATCATTTAAATAAAATCTATATTATATCAATTCTATCAATAAACAAGACAGAAACTAAACCTAGTGATCCTCAAATGTAAAAATCATCTATGATTTTCTCAAAATGTCAATTCTAGACTCTGAATGGACAAATAGATTATATTAAATTTGAGACTTTGTCAAAATGCATATTAAATTTAATGAAAATTAATCATAATTTAAGTATAACAATAAATGACAGTGTTCTTTATATGCAATATTTGACCTCAACAATAAGAGATTTTATAAATGGTTAGTTTATGGTTTTGGTGAATTTTTCTCTCACATTAATTTCTCTTGCAATTTTGTATCTTTAAAACCTGAGCCCTCATACAAAAATGAAATATGGAATATGTTTTCTACGCTTGCCTTACAGCTATGTGGAAATTTTGTGGGGTTGTTGTGGTTTTTTTTTGGGGGGGGGGGAGGACTAACATCTCTAATAATTTCAAGTAAAACAAAAAATAGGCACCAGTCAAGGCAGAACATTACAACCACACTGCAGAACATCCAAAAGGTTCGGTATTTACTGACAATCAGGTGCTGCAGTAAGCTGGGTTGTTAAGATGGCAAAGAATCACAGTCATGCAAATATCTATTTGTTTGGACAGAGAGACACCATGCATACGCTCCACATAGCTTAGGCAAACATATAGTACATGCAGAACTGAAATACAGCACTGATGATCAAACTAATAAAGCATCTAAGTGGAGGCAGAAAGGACAATACTAGATTGGGGCAAAATACTTCAGTAAATAAAGGAAAAAGTGCTGAACCTAGCTAACAGTTCCATTCAAACATTTGCAAGAGGTTTGTTCTTTCATGTAGGACAGGGTTAGGGAACGTCGGGCCCGAGGGCTGTACCAGGCTCTTGAAATCATTTGGTCTGGCCCTGACAAGGCATTAGGGGTGAGTTAAATGTCTGACCAAATACAGCAGCCTAATTTTCAAGTTGATAATTTTGTATGGCCCTTGAATGATGTTATAAATATCCATATGGCCTTTGGCAGAAAAAGGTTCCCTACCACTGGTGTAGGACAGAATCAATCCAAAATGGACACTAATACTCGTGTTGTGGAAACGTCTGCAGAAAGACATGGCCCGGATGTGTCTTGAGGCAGCATAATCGGGGATCCTTAAACTGGCTCCATGCTTTGCTTTTCCTGGCCCTTCCTCCTGGACCTTGTGCCCCCTCAGTTCCCCTGACCACCCAGGACTTAACTTTCCACTCACCCCACTGAAATGTCCCTATCCTGAGGCAAGTGAGAGAATGCTTGTGAAAGTCTTCTGTACACTGAAAATGTAATAGACAAGTATTCCTATTAACATCATCATCTCATCTTCAGAAGGCCAAATTTTCTGTGCCTTCCAAGTTGACATCTTACTGAACGAAAAAATATGATCCTCTGCCTCCTATAGCAGACCTGGGAGCAGAAAGATTATCCCACTTCCCCTCTTTCTCTATGCTCACTCATCACCCCTCCCCTGCTCTCCTGCCCTGGCTAACACCTGGGGGGACCACACAGGAGAATGACAGGAATGTGTGTTTTGATGCCAGGTTAAAGCAAGGGGAGACTCGCGGGGCCCCCACTCCTCACATACCAAGCTGGCAGCCAAGGCCTTGCACACAACACAAGGTAACTTGGGGAATAAACAGGCTGGCAGAGCCAAAAGCAATTTTTTTGAAGGGCTCAATCCTCCTGGTATTATCCCCGCAGGAAATTTCAAAAATCACTTCAGAGTCTACCTTTTCCACTATGCTCTCCTCTGGCAGGAGGGAGAACTTCTTCATCATCCATGTAGTCTTTTTGGGTCCTGGGGTCTCCCAACATGCTGTTTGCAACATTTACCCTTCAAGGGTCGTAGGAAGACAGATGGCCATAAAAATACTTCAGAGGAAAAGTACACAATGCAAAACCACTCATAACATACTGCAAAATATGATGAAAGGGGGGCAGGGAGGTTGCAGGGGAAGGGAGTGGAGGCTGTGGGCCTCCCAGAAGAGCTTTAAGACCTACTGACACAAAGACAGGGTTCGGGCTGTAAGAGCAGGTGCTATGAAGGCCAAATCTACAACCATGCCTGCGTGTTTTGGAGTGTGAAGGCTGACTGGTTACAAAAGCGGGGAATTTATAGACATTACAGTTCTTCCTTTGATTTGGACGAAGAAGCAATAATTAGTTAGGGTGCACAGACAACCAACAAAACACCGAACCTACAAATTAAGGGTGAGAACAAGCCTTACTAAACCCAGATGAAATGTCATCTCAGATTTCCACACAGGCATCACCCACCTCAAAGAGCCCTCCCCCTTGAGTAGGGCTACAGCAAGACTTGCTGGAGAAGCCAGGGCGCTCATGGTGCAAGGAGAGAGAGCTGGATTCAAAAGGAGGCAAACAAAGCAACACTAGGCAACAGGCCACTGTTTCCTTCCTAACATACACCACGGAAGCCTGCTGTCAGCCCGCTGGGACTGGGACGTCACTCCTTCTTTCCAATTCCCCCGCAAGCCTACCAAAAGCACCGTTCTAACCGGGAGAGGGTGTGCCTGCCTGGGACTACGAGAGGCAGGAAGGAGACCAGGTTTGCTTGCCAATGGCTTTCACCCAACCCCTCCTAGAGCTGGCCACAGACACCAGCTTCAATGTCCTCCCCCTACCTGAAGGATGTACCCCCGAACGTAGTCCCGTAGCGTCCAGCCCAGGCCGTGCAGGATGTGTAGCACCTCCTCCTGCTTCAGGACACTGAAGAGCCGGTCCAGCAGGATCTTTAGCCGCACGGGCACCGCTTGTGTCCCGTAGAGCATCAGGCTGCTGATGTCGAACACCACGTTGGACTGCACAATCTCCACTTGGGTGGGGTGGTACAGGTGCTGGGTGCTGAGCTTATCCAAGGCTGTGGTGGTCCCACCAAGGTTCCGGAGGTGGATGGGAATAAAGAGACAAAGGGAGAGGACAGACAAAGCAGAAACAAGTTACTGGAAGTTATCAGGGCTCCATTTCTAAGGCTGCAGATCACCACAGGAAAACCACATAAGTCTTTAAGCAAGTGTTTGCAATGTAAATAGTTCTCTTCCCACCTCCTCCCTGTTTTGTTTATAAATTGCAGACTGCAAAAGACAGCAAGAAAATACAAAATGTATTCAACTTTCAGAAAGAGAGCCACTGAGGATGTTTCTAAATGACTGTAGCTGACTCTACAAACCAGACTAATTAATTAGCTAATTGAATTATGGTGCAACTCAAGTTATCATGGCGTCCTCCCTTCCCCCACCAAAGAAAAAAATGAACAACTTCCACCTTATGTCCTAAGAACAGGTTCGACCAATATAATTTTAAAAAATAAAATCTGCCCTAGCCGGTTTGGCTCAGTGAATAGAGTGTCGGCCTGTGGACTGAAGGGTTCCGGGTTCGATTCTGGTCAAGGGTGCATACCCAGGTTGCGGGCTCCATTCCCACTAGGCGAGCATGAAGGAGGCAGCTGATCAGTGATTTTCTCTCATCACTGATGTTTCTACCTCTCCCTTCCTCTCCCTTCCTCTCTAAAATCAATAAAGTTATATTTAAAAAAATAAAAATAAAAATAAAATCCACCCCTTGTAAAACCTGAATGGTTTAAAGAGAAAGAGAAGCATGTTCTTCAGAATGCAGGGGCCTAAAAGGCCTAATTTCAAAGGAATAATAAGGAAAGCTGACATCAGTGTAGGGCTCTCAAGTTAAATTACCAGGAGCGAAGGGAGATTATCCAGAGACTTAGGTCTCCCAATTTTACCTCTTGCTGTTCACCTGTGAGATTTAGTTTAGTGTTCACTGGCATGTTCTATAAAAGTTATCCAGGAGAAACAAAAACAAACAAAAAAAAGAAGAAAAAAATACATTCAAGCCATAATTTAGTCATCTTTGAAACAGCTCTGACCAGGGTTTAGTGTCAAATGAAAATGGAAAACAATGACTATAATCAAAGTTTGAGAATTTCTGTGAATTTCAGCTGTTACCTCAGTACAGAAAACGAAGGATGACCATTTTCAGAGTAAATATTTTAATTAAATTAATATTTCAACAATTAGGCCTTTTCCTCCTCAAATCTAAGAGATTATCTCTCTCCTCTAGATCTTAAAGCCAAGATCAGATCATACTTCCAGTCCCCATCCTTATCTGATTTACTGGGAATTAACTATTGCAAATAGTTACTATTGCAAATAATATAATTATATTTTTCCTCAGTTTCTTTAAAGTGAATTAAGATAACATTGTATTATATCCAGGGCTCAAAGAGATGCTGCTGCAATGATTAATGAGATAATGAATGAGAGGTGCTTTGAACTCCTGAAGAGGACACAAAAGCATTAGGTCAACTGTAAGAATTATACACATATGGCCTTCTGGGGATTAAAACAGATAAACACCTGAGCCTGAAAAAAATGGTCATCTAATCTCTTGAGTGAGGACAGTGGCTTTCAGATAACATCCAGGCTCAAATTCTAACTATACCTGAGAGTACAGTACCCAATGTTTCTGCAAGTTCTAAATGTCTGCCTGGTCTTTCTCACCCACCCTTCCCTCCACCTTAGCCCATAACGGTATGTACTGTACTGTATTGTACATGTGCACTCTGAGTAACTCTTATTTGAATATACCAGTGTCTCTGCATATTAATGCAGGTATTTAAAAGTGCACACACACACACGGTTTTTACTTATTTGAAATGTAGTTTTTCAGGGCTCCTCCTCCACTCTGGTTTCCTCCTGACTTGTGGTCACTAGAGAGTTCATGTACTCTTGATAAATTGCTTTCTTACATCCATAGTGTAAAGGCCCTTATCATTTACCCGCTGGCTTCATTCAACACATTTACTCCCAGGAATACTTTGTCAAAGAGTTCGGGTTTTCTCATACTTCATTTCTTGCAGTTGATTTGTCTGATCTTTCCTATTCTAGTGGTTGAGTCAACTTTGAATAAATAGCCTTAAAAATTAATTTAACGTTTGGGAAAGATAAGGGATTCACAAGCCTAGGGATTGAAGACTTCTCTCACCCCACAGGGCATTGAGCCTGCAAAAAATGCAGGAAAGAAGTATTATTAACCCCGTTCTTCTTCAAGAACAGCTTAACTACTCTGCTGAGTGGCTGCTCTGCTTCCAGAATCCAGTGACCAGGTCAGGGAAAACCTGCTCTCCAACTCTCTTCCATCAACCCTCCTGGCCCAGATCAATCACTTCGTCACAAAATACTCTGCTTATACCACAACAAATAGGAAATCGAGAGGGTTTATTAGGGGGAAGTAATTGACACTAAATCCTGATTTTTGTCCATGTGTTTGGACCTTGTACTTATGCACTGAGTATATGTAGGTGTGTGTACCAATGTATTCGAAGGCTAGGTGGGAAAAGGTCATATCAGCCCTCTCCCTTCCACCCCTTAAAAATGGCAGACAGTTTTTAGAAGATAAAGAAGACTAACCTGTTGAGGGTAGAGCAACAAAGAGAAATTGTTCAGATAATTGAAAGAGCACAGGTGGAATAGGTATGGCAAAAACATTTCCCTAGATATGCTTCTGAGAACACCAGAGAGTGTGAGTATTATAAGGACATTACCTGATTCCTCTTCACACTAGTAAGTATGACATATGTTATGAAGTAGGAATGCTGTTACAAGCCACAGAGACATAAAACACAGGTCAATAACTTTTTTTCTGTGAAGGACCAGATATTTTTACTTCTTATGTGTTTTACATTCTCTTCCTTAACTAATCACCTCTGTGGTAATGAAAGCAGGTCAGACTGAAACTAATGGTCATGTCTGTGTTCCAATAAAACTTTATTTATACAAACAAGCACCTGGCCACATTGAGCTCTGTTATGGAGGATGAAAGGGTGAACTGGATAGGTTTTAAAAATTCAATAACAGATAAGGAAAGAGTCCTAAGAGTGCAATTTAAGCAGCAATTATTAAAAGATAAGCCATAGGCAAAGGCTGGAACAATATTAAAATGCCCAGCTTGCATATGTCAACTGTAAATTTTGGCATAAACATATCATCAAACATGATCTGTCAAATTTCTTGAATGTATCAATATTTTCTGCTTTATAATTGTAAGGTCATAGTGAGTCACCAAGTTGTCAACAACTTTTGGGGATGTCTCCTTGAGAACGAAGAGTAAGTGATGATTTTTTAAGTGTCATTAATATCGATAAACTGAAAACTGGACTTCTGCCTAATGTCATGATCTTCCTATGTCTGAATGTGGAGGACTCAAATTTGGATCTTAGTAGGGTTAGAAATATGAGTTGGGTCAATGGGATGAAGGCAGGTTAGGGCAAGAATTTTTTTCAGTGGCATGAAATGGGAAATGATAGTCACCGGCTTTATACTTTACTAGAGGCCTGGTGCACAAAATTCGTGCACAGGTAGGGTCCCTTGAAAGCAGGTCAGACTGAAACTAATGGTCATGTCTGTGTTCCAATAAAACTTTATTTATACAAACAAGCACCTGGCCACATTGAGCTCTGTTATGGAGGATGAAAGGGTGAACTGTATAGGTTTTAAAAATTCAATAACAGATAAGGAAAGAGTCCTAAGAGTGCAATTTAAGCAGCAATTATTAAAAGATAAGCCATAGGCAAAGGCTGGAACAATATTAAAATGCCCAGCTTGCATATGTCAACTGTAAATTTTGGCATAAACATATCATCAAACATGATCTGTCAAATTTCTTGAATGTATCAATATTTTCTGCTTTATAATTGTAAGGTCATAGTGAGTCACCAAGTTGTCAACAACTTTTGGGGATGTCTCCTTGAGAACGAAGAGTAAGTGATGATTTTTTAAGTGTCATTAATATCGATAAACTGAAAACTGGACTTCTGCCTAATGTCATGATCTTCCTATGTCTGAATGTGGAGGACTCAAATTTGGATCTTAGTAGGGTTAGAAATATGAGTTGGGTCAATGGGATGAAGGCAGGTTAGGGCAAGAATTTTTTTCAGTGGCATGAAATGGGAAATGATAGTCACCGGCTTTATACTTTACTAGAGGCCTGGTGCACAAAATTCGTGCACAGGTAGGGTCCCTAGGCCTGGCAGGTGATCAGGGCCGATTGGGGCCTTCCCTTTGCCGGCCGGGGCCTTCCTTCATTCTGCGCCGCCGCCTGGTGGTCAGCGCACATCATAGCGAGCAATCAAACTCAGGGTCTAACAGTCGAACTCCCGAGGGGACAATTTTCATATTAGGTTTTTATATATATAGATGAGCCTAACCACCTGCTAAAGTCCTGTACAAATGGTATTGCCAAAGTATCATTTTCAAATAAAATCTTAACCCAAAACTGGGTATAAAAAAACATAAAAGTGAAGCTGGAGTGAGCATGGATTAGAGAACTTGCTTGTTAATCCCTTTTTCTCTTCAACTTGTTTAAGCATCTCAGTTGGAACCCTAGAGTTCCCAGAAGCACAGTTTGAAAACATACTTTTCTACACAATAAAATGGAATCAATTGTTTTATCTGCTTTGCACCTACTCTCTTTCATTCTAGTAACAGAAACTGAATTTCCCTTTGAGGAAACATTCTTCCCCTATCTTATAAAAAGAATATTCCTTAAGCCAGGCCTGGAAAACCAGCATATCCCAGTCGCTTGGCCACAGGGATGGGCAAGTGACCTACTCTGAACAATGAGGTTGAATCAAGGACTTTAGTTATAAGTAGTGGGAAATTTTTCTCTTTCCTCAAAATCTGAGGCTGGTAAATATAGCTTGAAAACAAAAATCGCATGGAAGACAGATGGGATGCAGGTGGTCTGAGAAAGACCAGGTACTGCCAATATTGTTTGATCCATGGTCATTTTGGGTGCTGGTACTTTACCTAGAATCTTGGGATACAAAAGCCAACAAACTCTCTCTTT